AGTGTGTGTCTGGGGGTGCTGTGTGTGTGTGTCTGGGGGTGCTGTGTGTGTATCTGGGGGTGCTGTGTGTGTTTGGGTGCTGTGTGTATCTCGGGTTGCTGTGTGTGTGTCTGGAGTGCAGTGTGTGTCTGGGGGTGCTGTGTGTGTGTGTCTGGGGGTGCTGTGTGTGTCTGGGGGTGCTGTTTGGGAATTAATTTTATATATATATATTTTTTTTTATTAATAATTTTTTTTTTATGTTTCTTTACCTTAGCCTGAAGGGGAGGAGGAGACGCCTGGAGGAGCTATGCTGCTCCTGGTGGTTCAGTGGTGAGAGTGAACTCAACTGCAGGTTGTGAGTTCGGTATCTGGAGCTGCTGTCGCTGCAACGCCAGAATTCGCTGATGACCCGGCGAGCTGGTTATTCACCGTCCTCCTGCCTCAACACAGTCAAGGCGTCAAAGATCTCCCGCCTGTGGGGCTGCGAGGGAGATCTTTGATCTCCCCACCGCCCATGTGGAGGCACTATGCAGGGCCGGCGCTCGGATAGCGCTGGCCCTGCAGGGGCCGGCCGGGGAGATCCCCTGCCGGCCTCGGCCCCACGGCCATCGCGGCCCACCGGGCATTTGCCCGGTATGCCCGATGGCCAGTCCGGGCCTGGGTATATCGTAAGCTGAATAGTGCTAAGGGGCCAGGGCATATTGGTCTCCTGGGACATTTTAAGCATCCTGTCTTTCAACGTGCCATTCATGCGTTCTACTGTACCGCTACTCTGTGGGTGATAAGATGTGTGGAAGGCAAGGGTCACCCCCAGTGCTGCCCAGACTTCCCGTGTCAACAGAGCGGTAAAGGAAGTTCCTTGGTCACTCTCAATCACCTCTGGAACTCCATATCGGCAGACAATCTCTGTAAGGAGATGCTTTGCTGTAGTCTTCGCCGTAAGGTTGGCGACTGCGAAGGCTTCTGGCCATCCTGAAAACATGTCCACTATGACTAGTGCATACTCATATCGTCCACTCTTCGGCATCTGTATATGATCAATCTGTATTCTCTGGAAGGGATACTGTGGTTTAGCCAGGTGATTAGGAGCAGCTTTAATAATCTTTCAGGGGTTACATTTGGCACAAATCATACAGGATCTGCAATAGTTCTATGTCAGAGTAGTAATACCTGGTGCTTTGAAGTATTTATCAATTAGGGAGTTCATCAGAGGTGTAGACAAGTGGGCTGGTACATGGGCCCACTGAACGACAGCTGGGTACATGTTTTTGGGTAAACAAAACTTGAGGTTGATAGTATAGATGTAATTTCGAAGGATTGCCCCTTTGTCCTTCCAGCTTTGTTTTTCTTGAGGGGTTAACTCGGCCTCTTGCTGTTCTTTCAGGAGTTTGAGGTCTGTGGGCAGGGTTTGCATAGTATAGATAGGAGTGGTCTCGGTGGCCACTCTTCTGTCCACTTTCCATGCTTGCCGTGCCGCTTCCTCAGCGTCCTGATCAGCCAGGTGATTGCCCTGGGCTTCTTGCGAGTTCAACCTTCCGTGGGCCTTTACCTTCAGTACGGCCACCTCTTCAGGTAGCAACAGGGCATCCATCAATTCTTCAATAGCTGCCCCATGTTTCACAGGGGTACCGGTGGCCGTGAGGAACCCCCTGGTTTTCCAAATTAGACCAAAATCATGTGCCACCCCCAGGGCATATCTCGAATCTGTATAAATATTGACTTGTGTACCTTTAGATAGTTTACAGGCCACCGTAAGGGCTGTTAACTCGGCCTCTTGGGCTGATTTCGTCGGTGGAAGTGCAGCGGCCTGTAATATTCCACATTCTGTAGTAACTGCGTACCCAGTGTGGTATTGTCCTTGTTCATCAGCAAATCTGGAACCGTCCACAAACAGTGTACAGTCTGGATTGGATAGGGCAGTTTCATGCACAGTTGGTAGATGTGTGGTCTCCATCTTCATCTGTTCAAAACAATCATGAGGGGCTTCTGGATCTTGCCCCGTGGGAGGGAGGTCCTCGCATATCTCTGTATGGTACCGAGGATAACTGTATTGCAGTTAATAATCTTTTTAGTCACTCCCGCTAGTTCAAGTTGTTCTTGAGTTGCTATACTCCAAGACTTGGCCATTGGGCCTAGATCTTCCCACGAGAGGTCAGGAGACTTGGTGAATGAGACATGTGGGACAGCCACCTCCCAGTGGTAATAGAGGTGTGATACTTCCATTGGAAGGTGAACCAACAAGACCATGTTGCCTCTGGAGTCACAATAAATCTGTTAGTGTGATACAAATTTCCACAAAGTGGAACAACTCTTCTTCATAATATGGATCAGGGCCTGGGGTGTCTTTAAACCACAGAGTGCAATGCAGCAAGTTCTCCGGTTGCACGTCTTGCGGAACTGTGGGAGTGGGTACTTGAAACTCCATCCGGACATCTGGGTTGATGTCCAAGCTGTACCAATAATGGGCTACTCCCCCCTTGGGAAGTGGCAGAAGAGTGGCCGGGTTCAAGGAGTAACATCTTTGAAGGGTCACATTGTCAGGCAGCAGTAAAGAGGTTTGTAGGCGAAGATGGTGTTGGGAGGAAAGGTGCTTAGGTTGAACTTGTTGCAAAATGTCGGAAATGTCATGTGGAGCGAGAACTGTTAGAGAATGCCCAAGGACGAAGTCATTGGTCTTGTCCAATAAAGCACTAGCAGCAAACACTGCCCACAGGCAGGAAGGGCTACCTCTGGCTACTGGGTCGAGCATGCAGGAAAAGTAACCAATGGGTCTCTGTCTGGAACCATGGCAAATCTTTTCTGAGACGAACAGTTTGAAAGGCAATTGGTAGTTGGGTAGGCCCAAAAGAGGTGCGGAGGAAATTGCCTTTTGCAGAGCTGAGAAACAGGCTAGAGCATGTGGTGAAAGTGAGAACGGCTCGCTCTTCAAAACGTCATATAGTGGTTGCATAAGCTGAGAAGCTTCAGGAATCCATGATCTGCAATAGGTAATGAGGCCTAAAAAGGCATGGAGAGTCTGGTGAGTAGATGGGGGTGGCAGATTCAGTATAGCGAGAATCCTATTTCTGGTGAGATGACGGGTGCCATGGGAGAGGCAGTGTCCCAAGAAGACCACAGAGGGCCGGCACCACTGGAGGGCCGGCACCACTGGAGTTTGGATCTACAGGGAGTGCAGAATTATTAGGCAAATGAGTATTTTGACCACATCATCCTCTTTATGCATGTTGTCTTACTCCAAGCTGTATAGGCTCGAAAGCCTACTACCAATTAAGCATATTAGGTGATGTGCATCTCTGTAATGAGAAGGGGTGTGGTCTAATGACATCAACACCCTATATCAGGTGCATAATTATTAGGCAACTTCCTTTCCTTTGGCAAAATGGGTCAAAAGAAGGACTTGACAGGCTCAGAAAAGTCAAAAATAGTGAGATATCTTGCAGAGGGATGCAGCACTCTTAAAACTGCAAAGCTTCTGAAGCGTGATCATCGAACAATCAAGCGTTTCATTCAAAATAGTCAACAGGGTCGCAAGAAGCGTGTGGAAAAACCAAGGCGCAAAATAACTGCCCATGAACCGAGAAAAGTCAAGCGTGCAGCTGCCACGATGCCACTTGCCACCAGTTTGGACATATTTCAGAGCTGCAACATCACTGGAGTGCCCAAAAGCACAAGGTGTGCAATACTCAGAGACATGGCCAAGGTAAGAAAGGCTGAAAGACGACCACCACTGAACAAGACACACAAGCTGAAACGCCAAGACTGGGCCAAGAAATATCTCAAGACTGATTTTTCTAAGGTTTTATGGACTGATGAAATGAGAGTGAGTCTTGATGGGCCAGATGGATGGGCCCGTGGCTGGATTGGTAAAGGGCAGAGAGCTCCAGTCCCACTCAGACGCCAGCAAGGTGGAGGTGGAGTACTGGTTTGGGCTGGTATCATCAAAGATGAGCTTGTGGGGCCTTTTCGGGTTGAGGATGGAGTCAAGCTCAACTCCCAGTCCTACTGCCAGTTCCTGGAAGACACCTTCTTCAAGCAGTGGTACAGGAAGAAGTCTGCATCCTTCAAAAAAAACATGATTTTCATGCAGGACAATGCTCCATCACACGCGTCCAAGTACTCCACAGCGTGGCTGGCAACAAAGGGTATAAAAGAAGAAAATCTAATGACATGGCCTCCTTGTTCACCTGATCTGAACCCCATTGAGAACCTGTGGTCCATCATCAAAATGTGAGATTTACAAGGAGGGAAAACAGTACACCTCTCTG